GGTACATGGAGGGTCTCAATAGGCATAACTTAGTACTTAAAGTTGGCGTCTCAATTCAACGATGAAAAGCGGTTTGTTTATCCTGTACAACTCGTCGCTTTTCATTATATACCTGATCTGCATTAATCGCACTTCTGATATGCGCTTCTATGCGGTTGTTGAGATATGGCATCAATGCTGTTTAGTCGGTATATTTATACAATAGTATATGTGAATACATTTTTTTTCGCCAGGAAAAAAAGATTTAGTTGACATCCTGCACATCAAATGAAAGCTCTTTGCATATACTGTCTGATGATGTTGTTTTGTAAAGGTAGAATTATGATGTTCTCTGGATCAAGATATGAAGCAAGCAAAATACAAGAACTCTCCCGTTAGTGGCAATCCACCTGTCTAATATCAACAATGAATAAACCACTATTTCGTATTGTTCATTATATATGTTCTATATAATTTGTTATGTGTTTTCTTATTCTTTTGATCATGATGAAAGAAATAGCTTAATCCTCGCTACGTTCAAACTTCTTCCCTTAATAAAGAGTGTGTCTGTGTCATCTTCAAAGAATGACACATGACACACACTATATTAAGGAAAGAAGTTTGAACGTAGCGAGGATTAAGCTATTTCTTTCATCATGATCAAAAGAATAAGAAAACATAAGAAACTATATAGAATATGTAAGATCTTTTCTCTACAAATTGGCTGTTGGATAGACTAGTATATCTTCTATACATTCAGTGATCGGGTTATTTTTGCACAATAAAGTAAATGTATTAAAAAATGATAGTGAGCAGAAAAAAATATTTACACAAATAAGTTTTCGTTCACCTCGATGGCATAATCACAAAATTATCGAACCAATACACCTCCCCAGAATAGAAGAAAACAAATTTCGTTTTTACAAAAATTTCGTATTTCTGAGAGAGGAGCCTTAAATTTTATTGAGGCTATGCACTCCACATCTAATAGTCATGATACCAGTTGTTCTGTTGACCGAGTCAATCTTTCTTTATGACTCTAATAAAATTTAATCGAGATAGCCTTGAATTTCTCTTCAAGACTCGATAAAATACTTGAATACAGAATTTACGCTCCCTCTATGGCAATAAACGGTTATTACCAATAATGACAACTCAATAAGCGATAAACATTATGCGAAAGATTGAAAAATCGACTTTTTTAGCGCTTGAAGTTTCAAAGTGAAGTGCATAGGTCGATTAAGAAATTATTTTACGGTAAAAAAGAGCTCCGTAACTTAAAAGGTGTCTTTAGCTTTGAACATCATGCAAAAGCTCAACTTTTACGGGAAGAATGAGTTTCAACCTTTTCTATGCTTGAATGTTTAATTAAGAATTTCAATCCGTCATCCATTGATTATTCTTCACAATAGTGATCTTGTAAAAAGAAGAGAATCGATGCCGACAAGAACCTAGAACGTAATTAATAGAAATATGGTCACAAGCATTGGCACCAGATTCCTCAAAATCAAAATCACTATAATTACTCTACATTTAGTTTTAGATTTTATTTGTGATCATTAAAGTTTCAATTTTTCCTACTTCTTTCAATGGTGATCTACCTACAATCATCGATTTCATCATATAACACATATAACAAGAGAGAACTTAGGAAAAGAATAAAAATTTTCTATGTTAAAAATCAAACCTACTATTTCATACATGTATACACTTATTAGTCTTGGCGCCTATTGTAAAAATTTTCGTCTTTTCATTTATCACTGCTGAGAACTCAACCGATGCATATTTATCACCAAGGTACTAAAAGGCCAAGCAGTGATGCAAAGAGATTTTTCATAGGGAAGTCTATTGAAGTTTTCATTTTCTTTTGTGATAAACTACATTATCCATCAAGTATAAACAATGTCACTTTAACACCATTACTGCCACTGAAGCTACCTGTTAGGCATGCCATTATTCTCAAATTCATTGGCAATAGTTTATTGCTTAGTGAAGCGAAGAGTAATATCGTGAACTAATGGAAATCAGTATACATGATCGAAGAAATGATGGCCACCAAAAGTCATCGTTCACGTCATATCCGAGTTAATATACTATTAGGAGACGAATGTGATCATGAGAAATAGATGAGAGGTGATCCCTAGGGTCAACACGATCAATCACTTTTAAACTGAGAGAACCAAAATGTATGGCCATCACTGAATATGCACTCTTCATCATATCACACATCTGATATATGAGCTGTCAATCAAAAAGCTGCACGACGATTTCGATGAAATTAAACGAAAATATGATGATGAATTAAAAATAATCAGAGACAGCTATAATACTAAAGCGAGAAAAGTAGCTAAGACGTGGAAATTATGTAATCTACAAATAAAAACACAAGCAGAAGCGGTAACAGACGTTTATACAACGACATGCGAAGTATTGCCTCCTGTTATTCAATCGCTTCAAATACTTAATCGTCTACTATGGGCAATGAACATAAACGTAGCTGATTAGAAAAACGCGTTATTAGTACAGGGTATGAACTCAATAAGTCAAATACCAAATGAATAATAGTTTTTATTTTTTTTTCGCCGAATGTAGACAAAACTGCGGTTTTAAAGTTTTTCGAAGGCACAAATGGTGAGAAGAAAATGCTGTCAGATATGTGTGATGATTGGAATAGTAAACTCTCTCTTTCTGATATTTCTAAGAAGTGGCATAAAGAGAGACCTGTTTGTGATAGTGATAATCTCTTTGTTACTCTTTATAATTGTCAATGTTTAAGTACTCATATTGTAGACCTTGATATCTTATTGTCTACTTTTACGCCTCATATATGCATTCTGACGAGTGTGTGTGCTAAAATTAAAAATTTACCCAAGTTAGAAGGGTACTATTGGAACAGCTTGGAACAGCAAATCGGAGCAAATTTCCAACGATATGTCTGAAAGCAAGGAGGGGGGGAAGTGTACACATTCCTTATAAAAATTGTCGCTCCGTCACTGTCTCTGACTATGAAGTTTTTCGAAGTATTCTCCTGTTCTGTGCTTAAAAAAACGTTCTTTAATTGTTGCACTATTTCTCATGTTGGTTTAAAAAATTTCTTAACAAAGTAAAAATTCAGTTGTTCAATACCAAGCAATTTAGGAGGCTCAATATTTCTGCGATATCAACAGACCACTAGAACACCCATGTTTCCGACTGCCGTAAACTTGCGCCGCACAATGCGGACGAATTGAGCATAATTGTGCACAACTGCGTTCGTGACAGTGCAGATGTTCTGCTGCAATCACAATTGTGCAATTACGGCGCAAGTATTTAAAAGTCGACGATATGAGCAGTTATGCAAAAAATCTAAGCCCTGAATTCGCTGTTTTTATTAAGATACAAAAGTTTTAGTGTTTTTATACATTCTTCTACCACGAAACAAAAGAAAGTTTATAACTTTTGAAAGAAGTAACAAGGGCCTAAATCCCTTCAGGCTTTTTTCAGGCACTCTCTACTTTTCTATCACCGAAAACGGAGTCTAACATCTGGCGAGTTACCTCATGAGCGAAAACGCAATCGATGTTTATCGAGATTGAAGAGATACTAATTCGTTCGGTTTGTAAAACTCAACAAGTTTCAACAGAATTGTAAAACTTTTAAATCAGCGAAAAATCCGAAGTTTACACCTTTTCTTCTACTTGTCCTTACTCTGTTAAAACTTATTTGTCAGTTTTGGAAGTGTTTCCAAACGGGTTGCCTGATCAGCGTTGCAAAATGAACGGATTAGAATCTCTTCAGTCGACAGCTCTTGACGGGTTTCTAAATATCCCACTTTTGCATGTTCACTAAGAAAAGATGTAATCACCCAAATAGTTAACAGATCGAGATCAGCAACGAAAATTACTCGTACAATTCTATTAGATTATTAAAAAAGCTTTTGATCTTGTGGGGAGGCGCTATCGCTAGTCTCTGAGGAAGTTTAATACCCATAGGACACAAATCGGTTGTTTTCAGAAGGCGAATATTGCCCTATAAGATAAAAGTTCCATAAGGCAAGTTCGACATTCCACTCTAATGACTATATATAAAAAATTTCTCACTAGACACAACTTACATTACACTTAATATTCTTCGTTTTCGCTTCGGTGTAAGTGGCCTCATAAATGCACAACAAACAGCGCAAAATAATAATATTCCAGATAAAACGAGTAAACCGCTTTGCCATCCCAATTTGTTAAACAGAAATCGCGAAAGAGGACCGAAGGTAATGGAGCCAATTCCGGTACCCGATACCGTTATCCCTATATACATTTATCGAATAAATTTAGTTTTGTTTCAACGGAGAAGCTCTAACTTACCAGTGGCAATAGCCCGTTTTTTCTCAAAATAAAGACCAACCATGACAATTGATGGTAAATAAATTAGACCCATACCAATTCCTGTTGAGACAGAAACTGTATGTTCAAGATTAATACTTCAATGAGATTGAAAGAGTATGTTGCTCTAATGGATTATTCATCTAATGAGAGACACAGAAAATACAGGCGTTATTATCTGACTAACCTCCAACGAAGCCGAAAAGTGTCCACATTACGTAAATGTTTGGTGAAAAGATGGATGCAGCCACTGAGCCAGCGGCTATAAAACTTCCTATTATGCCAATTGGACGACATCCAAACTTATTACACAGAGCTGATGCCAGTGGAGCTGAGAAAGGAAAAAGATCATATTCATTATAGATAAATGCAACTTCAAACACTAACCACTCAACAGATAACAGCCACATGCCAAAGAGATCACAAGAGAAACTTCCCATTCTTGAACGTGAAAATGCTCTCGTAAATCTTTTGAAATGGCTCCAAATGCGTAGAGAAAACCATCAACGATCATATTTATCAACTAAAAATAAAATGGAAACATGTTTGTAATAAAATCAAGGAAACGACTAAACAAAATAGAAACTTTTAACTTACGAAACAGGCAATTAAGATCACCCACCCATATCCACCATCAGGCGGAATTGAAATATAATCATACTCATCGTCATTCTGTGAGTTTAACTGATGTTTCTTTGACTTTTTTGTGGTTTCCCTCGTCATTGTCCACTAGAAGAATAATTAAAATTTATGTGTGAAGGAGAACATTGACTCCGACTTGAAAGTAAATGAGAGCATCTTATCTTCTATATTTCAGATTTTAAGTGGTGCACATTATTGTAACGAGGAGATTTGACTTAAATAGTTTGCTAATAGTCGTTGAAAATTTCTGAAGGAAAGCATTTTTCACGTGATAATACGCATTTTCGATTTTCTTATCAACACATGTTTCCTTCCTCGCGTAGAAGGAGCGGGGCGTAACTGTCTCAAACTTTGAGACATGGAGTGGACGCCACTAGAGAAAGTACTCAACACTGGCCAAAAAATAGAAACTATCCATATATTCTATAATATAACGTTCGTCAGATTTAAAATGCTCATTTAACTTTTCGGCCAAAGTAACGGAATCGCGTGTTTTCTCCTTCTAACTGATTTCTCAGTCAGTTTAAAAACAGGATGCTTAAATTCTTACCGAATCTGTTTAATCACGCACTCGACAATCTCTAGAATTTCGGTGAAGTCTGAATGTATATGACTCGAGTTTCATAAGAAAAATATTGACCGTTACAGAATCACCTAAAATGGAACAGTCATTCCTAAACAATTTAAAGTTATCGAAAACTCAGTTAAGCGCCATTCTTTACGTGAAAACGTGTCCTGGCAATGTGTAGAAAAGTCCATGGGCTATCGATTGGAAAAACTTTTTTTTGATAGCTCCGATATTAACGCTGAAATAGCCAAAGCTTCGTCGTTACGGAATCATGCATTTTACAAATAACTATATTTTCGCAATTCGCTTAAGAATGAGCGAGGGTTAAATCAAAATGAGATTATTGCGATCTCAAAACATTTCTCTATTTAATCGTATGATCAAAACCTAAAAACTATTGTAATAAATAAAAGTCACATGAAAACAATTTCTTTTCAAAACTTCGACATAAACGATGACCGTTGTGTGGAGTGGTCCTTTTTAGAGAGAAAAAATTGCTTAACGAAGAATTGCATCTGTGCCCTAGTGGTCGATTCTTACAAAGAATCCGACAGGAATCTGATAATAAACTAATCAAAATCTGATATGTCTCGTATAAGAATCTTATTTTAATATCGGATATCTTATTTAGTTTGATAAAAAGCAGATAAGAATTAGTTAAGAATTCTGTAAGAATTAGTTAAGAATTCTGTAAGAATTAGTTAAGAATTCTGTAAGAATTCGAGAGGAAAAGGCAAGGACTGACAAAAAGTTCCGATGTTTTTTTCGCTTTCTTTAGTTAACTGTATAGTTCATTAGTGAGTGTGTACGAGGGCGCGAGGCATTCTCAAAACGACCAGTCTTATTCAAAAATTTCCAAGAAACCAGTGGTCCTTATGTGCTTTCTGCAAAATAAAACGGTATCTGGCTTTTAGTAAGAATTTCAGAAGAAAGTGATAAGAAAGTGAGTGATACGAACGTCTTATCAAAGTCATAGCTCATCCTTATTTAAATCTTACGGATTCTTCACGTAACTTCTATGGCAGAGATGTTACAGCATTACTTTTTTTCTGCTCATTTTGTTTCGACTATAACTCCGAACCTAAAAGTCGCAGAGAGTTCAGACACATTTTAAATTATAGAAAATACTGCTTTCTACATTTTGAGCTCTAATCAGACTCTAGGTAACCTATCCTCATAAAACTGCAATCCAAATGCTTAGACCTGCTTTTTAACAATTGAACTAAAGGTGTAGAGCTCACCATTTTGATCACAGTTTTTCTAAAACAGGTTTCCTAGAGTCTGACTAGATCCTAAAATGTAGGAAACAGTATTTTCTATAATCTAAAACTCTCTACGACTTTTGGTTTCGGAGTTATAGGCGAAACAAAATGAGCAAAAAAAGTAACACTGTGACATCTCTGCCATAGGAGTTACGTGGACAAGCCGCTTGCCTGATTCTTGTCGGATTCGTACAAAATTCTTCCCATTTGCATGCGGACTTCTTATGTAAGAATCAGATAAGACTCAGATAAGATTCGTACCAGAAATAACGAAAAATGTTCGTCTACGGTGATGCACAATCATGAACTGACTCATGAATATTTATTCGTTCAATAAACAAGTGCCCAAGCAAAAAAAATGGAGCTAGAATCGGGCGGTTGGAGCTAGGTAACACGGTTTTCGACCCGGTTAAGCTAGCTCCACCTCAAAAAGTTTAACCTAGCTTTGGGCGGTGGGGGAGGTTATCAGCTAGGTTAACCACCCACTTAACCGATCAGTCGAGCTAGCTCCAACCGCCCGCTTAACCGACCGGTTAAGCTAGTTCCCAGTATCAAATAGATCATACAGAGGGCGGTTATCAGCTAGGTTAATCGCCCGCTTAACCGACCGATCAAGCTAGCGCTATCCGATATTTTTCTCTCCTTTTGATATAAGCTTTATTCTTTCAAAATACACAATTAGAATACAAAATACTTGTATTCTGAAAGAATAAAGCTTATATCAAAAGGAGGGGAAATTTTAATTTAGAAGGAGAACTGAGGAAAGGAGGACGAGTACGATGCAAGGCTAGGTTAAAAACTCATTGGTTTTTAGGAGTCGAGCATTTAGCAAAACTTTTAAAACCATAACTCTAAACGGCAAGTACACTTGAAGAAACTTATAAACGAATTTTACTACGAATAGTAGGAAAGCAGAAAAGTACAATCCTTTTGCAGATTCGAACCTGCGAGACAGTAATCTTGTCTGCTTCTCGTATTTTCTGTCTGAAAAAGGATTTTCGAGAGTTGCGTTTCGAACATAAAATGTGGCAAATTTAATTTTCTGAATTTTATGTCTTGAGACCAGCTTTCAACAAATCGTTCTTCATGGTGAAAAACAGTAAATACCATTTTCCACCGTGAAGATCGATTTGTACAAAGCTGAGCCTGGCAGATGAAATATAGAAAATTAAATTTGCCACATTTTATGTTCGAGACACAACTCTCGATAGTGCTTTTTTCAGACAACAAGAAATATCTTCTCAATGATTTCATCACTTATCAACTACTACATGTGTGCCTGGTAGCTTAGTTGGTTAAAACGTCGCGTTACCTCCAATCTGAATTCTGATAGTGCTCTGTAGCCGATGAGTTCGATTCTCGTTGGGTACATGTTCTTTTTTTCTTATTTTTTAGACTAGCTTTGAGCGCCCGGTTAACCGGACCCTCCAACCATCCGGTTAACCTACTTGATAACCACTCCCTTATTAAATATATTTCGTCTTCGAGGCTAGCTAACTAGGTAGAAAGGTACATTTACCTAGATCCATCAAGTGAATACCCGTCCGGTTATGTAGTCGATGGAGCTAGATTCTCTCTGTAGAGCATTTTTTCTTGGGTGAACAAGTAAGAAGTCACTAAATTTCTTTGGCATCTTTTGAAGATCGTGAAAGAGCGAAAGTCAATGTGAGAAAGACAGCAAGTCGGTTCTGTTATATATTCTCTACTTTTTATCACATTACTGACAATAAAATACTGTAAAAAGCAGAATAACGCACGTATCACAATATCCCACCACATTATGAGTAAAATCTCAGCAGAACTCTTATTTTGCCTCACAATCGTGCTAAATTATCCCAAAAAATTTTCAAATATTCTCTGATATTCTGAGATATCATGAGGATTTTGCTGAGATTTTTCTCATAATGTGATGGAATATTACAGAATAAAATCTCTCAACGTGAGATATTGTGGATCATGCATTATCCTGCTTTTTTTGGTATTTAATTGCAATTACTCTTCACAGTGTCACTTTTTTATATCAGAAATAACAAAGATAGGGTCATAATACCTTAGCGTATCTTTCACAAATTCGAACTAATTTTTTTACAATTTATTACACACATACATATCGTTCTTCTCCTTTGTATTCAATTAAAATTGTTGTTCTTGCACCATATTTCCCATCTATATTGTGTTTTTTTTTCTGCCCGTGCAGAAACAAAGAGTAAGGAATTTTCAAACTATGTCATAACGTATTGTGATTTTTTTCTGTCATCCGCACGTTCAACAGAGAAGTAATGAATGAACAAAAAATTTATTTACGCATGTTGAAGATGTTCTTGACTTCTTCTCTTCATTCACATACTGTTTCAGTATTTAAAGGATAAAGAGAACTCCGTTTGTTGTACGCTAAAAAATATCGGTGAAAAAAGAGGAAAGAGAAAACTCGGACAAAAAAATGTAATAAAAATAGAATTTTTTGCTAAATATGCAATTCTTCTTTCTTTTTCTCCCAAAACTATTCCTTTTTTTTTTCTATCAACATATCATATGCGTAGGAAATCATATCATGTAAAAAGAGAATGATGAAAATTATTAATGACAATAGAAAATCAATAAACGATCATCAACGTCATTCATTCATTTAGCTTTTCAAGATGTGATATAACGCTCGTTGAAAACAAGTACATAAAATGGTGTGCTTTTCCAAGAGTAAAATAGAAAAATGACCATTACTTTTGTTCAAAACACTGTACAATTTCACTAAAAACATAAACCTAACGCATTTTTTATGTGAGAAAAAAGGATGGAATAGCCGTATATTATACGTTTTTCAAGACTGTCCGATATTATAATCGTTAATGAAGAGAAATACAAATAGAGAACAAAATTGAATTTATTTTATAAATAATAGGGTGTTTTTTCTCATGAGTATAGAAAGAATACAAGCAAGAGTTTTCCAAGAAAGATGATGTTCTAAATGAAGTGTGATGACAGTAAAATAAAATGTATGTCTTTATGTATGTGACAATACATACTTTCAATTTAGATTTAGTATTCAAACTACAGAAAAAGCAAGCTGTTACAATTCCATATAGCATGCGATATCTCTAAAAGAAAGAAGCTAGATTAGAATCACTAACCCTGTTAAATTTCCAAATTATCCAGACCGACTTACCACCGGTAGATGATTCGGAATCTCGCGATAACTACAGATAGAAGGTTGTCTATAATAGGTTATCACAAAACAAATTCCTTATCACTGCTAATGCTTGTTTAGTAAATAAGTGGATTACTGTCTAGTCCAGAGGCCAGCCATGGTTTTCAGATAAAATTCGTAGTTTTATTCGCTTAAAACAAAAATGTTTTCGTTGTTATATTTACATGGAATCTACCAGGGACCGTCAGGTTTATCTTGTCAGTGTCAAACAGGTAGAAAGAGAATGTTTAAAGGCGAAAAATGACTACTATACTCATTTATCGTCTACTAAGAACTCCGACGTCCTGGTGGAGCTTAGGAAAACATTCTATTGGAAAAACGAAGAAGTCCACTATTCCTCCATTGATTAATTTTTTATTCAATACAATTGTTTCATCAACGGATGAACGTGCTCAAGTACTAAATCGTCATTTTGCTAAAATATGTACAACTGATACATTATCTATTTGTCCCTCTGTTGCAACTTTGTTTCAATCATCTATAGTTATGTGTAACTGAAGTTTATGAAATTCTCGTATATTTAGACGTAAGTAAAGCTACAGCTCCTGGCATTTCTAACAAAATGCTACGGGAACCAGCTGCTGTTATTGCTCCTATTGGTACTCACCTCTTTAATCAATCACTCAACAATAAGGAGTTTCTCGCTATTTGAAAAACTGTACAAATTTAATCATATTCGGAATAAACGTGAAATTCTGTATCGATTGATGTATAATTTGAGCTTGAGGAAACACCACTGTTGGTAGGAATACTGTATTTTATTAAAATTCTGTCATGGTGTTACCAAAATTTCCCCAAAATGAGTTCCTTCACAATAAAAGCTGCTGGGTTAGATAGATCGTCAAAAGCTGGCGTACTGTTTATTTTTACAACTGTATTGTTTCTGTTTGATTTCTAGGTAGTCTTGTAACACCAAGTTTAACCCTTTTTCATGAACACGATGAGCATTATTCTTTACAAACAACTAAACCGATTGAATTAAATGGTTGATGAAAGATTTGATTTGTTTTACTTAACATGACTTTATCAGGCAAAGATATGACTTGTAAATGAGTTTAACGCAAGAAAAGAAATAGTGTATCTTATCCTAAATCCAAGAAACGACAAATTACTTAGGTTTTACTTAATTCAGTTTATCTTTTTCTCAAACCTTCAACGAAAATCTAACAAAAACTGGCTCGCAAAACAGTAAAAAGTGATACGAATTTTTTCATCGATACCCGATTGAGATGTAAAAATGAACAGATGACAGCTCGAAAGACAGTTCGGATTTGCATTATTGTTATTGTTCCTGCTGGTATTTGGTCCGATCTACTACTCATATTCTTATATGTCTATGTATATGGAGGTTCTTTTTCTTCTATTGTTCCAAAGTAATCAGAGTAAAATAGTAAATATTAGATACGGTTATACAGCCCAATAATTGTGCTTGATTAAAGAGGCACGCGAAGAAAATATTTTTCACATTACATGATGATTAAAGATAAGAAGAAGCTTCAACTGTTTATTATGAGTTTTTTTATTGTAAAATGAATATGGTAGCAGTAGTAGCAGTCTCGTAACGGTTAAACCTAAGAATTGTTACGGCGCGAGCAACACGCATATATTAAAAAAGTATTTTCCTGTTCAGTAAAAGCCTATTTATTTTCATTGGATTTTACACTATACCATTCTTTCTTTGTCTTATAGCATCGGCACCGACTTTAGTAATCCGTTAGTAATAAATGGTTGATTTATAAAGATTTTGAACTGGGATTGTTTTGTAAGTTGGAATAGATAGGGCACTAGACCACGCACTCACAGAGTACCCTTAATGCACCTTCATCATCCTTTCTATTCAGAAATAAATCAGAGATCATTCTTAAACATTCAGTTGTTGCTAGATCATCAGATGGAGACTATGTTTCAAATATCTTTAACGCTTCTCTGCTATATTTTACTTTAGAGTAAAATTAGAATCTTTCTCACTGAACATATCAACTAGACTTCGAAGTGTGTGATCGATTCTCGGATGACTTTGTGGCAAATTATTTCGTTGTTCAGCGAGTTTTTGTTTACAAAACTGTGAAGCTGTATCGTGCTCATCTTTTTTCTTATATATTCTAACAATATTATGCATATCTCTCGTGAGATGTTGATGTTCACTTGGCAGTGTTTTTTCGTCCATTTCGTATTGTCGACGATAATAATCAAGTGTATGATTGTAGTCCAATTGATCTTCGTATAATGCACCAATTTCACCAAAACATCTTGCAATTGTCGGATGTTGTTGTGGTAGTAGAGGTTTGTACATTTCATGAACTTCTGTTAAATATTTTGATGCTAGATCGTAACCTTTCTTCTGTCGATAAGCTCCACCAATATTTTCAAGTGTCGTAGCTTTACTTAGATCATCGTCGATATGCTTCTCTTTGATCTCAAGTGATTGTTTAAAATAATCTAGAGCTCGATCATAGTCCCCTGTTTTCTTATGTAATACACCAATATTATGGATTGATTGAGCGATATGAAGATGGTCAGGAGGTAAGCGTTCTCGACGTAAGTTGTATCCTCGCATAAAATAGTCTAATGCCAGATGAAATTCATTCTCAGACAGATGTACATTTCCCATACTATTATAAACTGAAGGAATACTTCATGATCTTCCAGCAGTGTTTTCAATAACATGTAGAAGTATTTCTTGGCTTTATCCACTTGACCCAAATTTCTCCATAGTAGACCACCAAAGTAAATTGTTGAGCCCTGTTCTTTCATTTCGTTTTGTGTTACATTCAAGTATTCATTCACTTGTTTTGATTCATCATCTGTTGTTGTCATATACTCTTTCCATAAATTCAACGATGAATTGCGTTCTACACTATTGATGCGAAAAACTGATCCCAAGCTAGACAGCACTTCCCGTTCACCTTGCATTCGATATTAGCAAAGATAATAGTTTGTAGATCTGTTTTAGATTTCAAATGAAAACAATTTTCTGTTCAGCCGTGTTATTTGCTCCAAAAACAAATTAAAGGGCTATCTTGATGTTGAAAAATATCCGTTTGTGGATATTAATTGACCACTATTAGAGCTAAGTTTATTAAATTCTTCAGTAGACATTATCTGTGTACGGTACAATGTCAACATACGTCTATTCTCTTCAATCTGTTTGTGTTCGCGTTCTAATTGTGCACATAGATCCATAATGTAAAATCGAAATAATTATAACAGCTCAATATCTTCTATTCTCAATGCTTTATTAACTAGCCGATAGATAAAGGAGTCGGCTGTATACCACTCGCAAGCTTTATCCGCTGTGTATGTTGTTCAAAATTGTTCAATTTTGTTTAGTTCAAGTTTATTCGTTCGATAATAATCTGAGCATTTTTCAATCATATCACGTAAAGCTTGATTATTTCGTGGCATTTGTCTAAGTATATGAAGTAAAAGCTGAAACCAGAGGAAAGATGCTGAATCTTTCGATAGATCACGTGTTGATTTCTGGTGTTGATTGTCAAAGAGGCTAAAAGCCATGGCCTGTCTTCTTGCTAAATGAAGAGTATAACGGATAGATTCCATTAATGATTGTTGGTCGATGAATATCCCAACAATTATTGGGTATTGGTCGCGAAGAGATTCGTGCTGATGAAACGGAGAATCACAAATGACAAAGACAGAATTGATCGTTGAAACTGAATGCATTTTAACTAGAATTTGTCTTGCTAATGCAGCTGATATGATTAGAAAGATTTTTTCACCTTTGATCGATCGAATATACTCGGCACATAAATTTGAAACAGTATAAATAAAACATAATTGTTCAATTCTCGTAACGTGATTTGTGTATATTGAGAATTAGGTGAGTCATCAATATTTTGGTCAAGCCATATTAATGTTACATCTTCTAAATTTTCTTCTACATCTTTTAAAGGACGATTTCGCTGATATTCATTTGTCATATTGCTGTTACTTACAGGAAATGGGTATCCCAGTCAAATGACACGAACAGACTTCAATGAATGGAAGAATTCACCGAAAATTATAAATTAAAAGAAGATCATAGGGTGTTTCCACGTACCTTCGCCCACTTTATACACAACCGGGAGACAATGCTGATCGTGCAGAGGATTTAAAGTTATTTAGAATCCCATATTCGTTTAGTTTGAAAAAATGTGTGGAACTTGGCTTTCTAAAGTCCAAACGTTTTCGAGACCTTTCAGAACTAATTTCTCCAAAACAAAATGAAACTACTTACTATAATACATGAAAATGAAGCTGAAAGAAAACTTATTCGAATGATGGAAGAATTAAATAGAAAGCTGTCTTTGTCTCTTTAGAAGTGTATAAAACAAAAATGGCTCGGTATTTTTTCTAGACATTTCCATCTTAAGAGGAAGCCCCATTTAGATTTTGGCCAAAGTCCGCCCAGTTGTAGAGAACAGTTTGAGATGTATTTAACATTTTTTCAACACACGGACTTGTAGCTTTTGCGCAAACAGTTTTTCAAGTTTTTTTGGCTTTTTCTGCCCCATTTTGAAATTTAAATAAAATTTTCGAAGGCCCATTTAAAGTCTCGATTCTTGTGCCATTCGACAGAGTACATTAAATTATATACACACACAAAATTTCACTATTTCTGGATTAGTTTCGACGACAAAATTAATTTTTCAGTTTGAGAAAGAATATCGGAAAAAGAAAACTGTGCTTTTTCGAGATAGGAAACTTTTTGAAGCCGAAATATGGATGACAAATTACGTTCAAACGGTCAGAAGGATAAACATTGTGGAGCAATGGTCTGGCTTTCAACACAGCCCATCGTCTTAACCAGCCACATCTGGAAGGAGACAGCGTCCGATTTTCAGAACAAAAAGTTCCGTTCTACATAAAAGAAAAAGAAAATTTTTGATACGATAATCCATCCGAAAATACAAGGCCCGTGGGCATTTTTTGAATAACTTTTGATAGGAATGAGATAGACACCTGTGATTTTCGCTGTTCAATAGCTAAATCGACTACGCTGAGCATAGTAGCAACATTTGTTTTTGTGTAGAAATGAATATAACTTCGTCAGAGGCATTGTTGTGAAAAACCGGTTTTCGCCTGTTACTAGCAAAAATTAAAATCCTTATATCTCGATCAAATCTCATGCGGAGTCAAGGAAATTTTCAGGAAAGGCTTAGAAAGTGCCATATGTTGTTGACCATGCAAATGGTGAGTTATGTAGCCGAAGTATAGCCTGATAGACTTTTCTCAGAGATTAATTATATGAATGGCGTCATTTCTTATAATTGAGAAAATTCAATTAAACAGTACAATCGATATATTGTCAACTGCTCCATCATTTATTGTACCTGCAAGGTACAATCTAGTCAATGTTACTTGAACCAGAAGGTATCGGGTATTCATCATTACCATTCCTGTCGCCGATCGGTACATCAATTGTGTTTTACCACTTCGATCTGTATCGAGTACGGGACCTATCTGAATGCTAGTTCCTAACAAGGTAAACGTCGAGGACAGAAACTGAAATCGAACTATAGCACTGTCATTCTGATTTGCCCAACCACCCATCCAAGCTGATAGATTATAGATAACATTGTAAGTATCAATTGCTGAAGCATATGTCGATACGTTAAGCATTTGTGACATGCTCGTCACAGTCGACTTTTGACCGAAGAAGTAACAGCAACCGCGATTACTAGAACCGAATACAAATGTCAGAGGATGATCGAAGCCCTTGTTTAACTTACGTCGGTCCCGGGGTTGTAAAAGACTGATCACCGTAAGTATTTTGGTATGAAACCTGTGTTATTGCACCACTCGCATTCCACCCTGCTGGAGACGTGCTACCGCTGCTAGTCTCGCATGCGCCTGTCTCACCATCACCATTCACAACAATATTTAGGTTATATGCTAGAATATTCACAGTATTTTTGTATCAGAAGTTATTTCTGAATCACAGAGTTAGCGACGATCTCGAGTTCATGCGAATGCTCTATGTCTCGAGACAGTCTTATTAAGTTTTATTTCTGTGCGTGCGAGAACGCTGCGTATGTATAACATATCTGCGAAATGTTACTCACCTCCTGTTAAGGCGGGTGAAGGTGAAAGTATGGACGGATACCCAGCTGGGTAAGATCTAGGACAGGCAGTAGTTGTAGTTGTCGTAGGACTTGACATACTGATCATGCTTGTGTTTGTCGCTAGAATTAGCAAAATATGAAATATACATGAAATAATGTCTAGTTTGCACTCAGAAAAGAAGAAATAAACGAAACTCTAATATATGAACAAAGCTGATTTAAAATAAGCAAATATACCGTAGACGTTTGACAGAACAAGATTTCACAAATTATTACTTGGTGCTGTCGAGCTACTCGATGTGCCGATTCTGGTGGTACCAAAGACTACAACAGAAACATGCTATACGACTTGAAAGAATGCAGTCGATGCTTACTAGTTGCTAATGAAGTGTTCATTATCATTACTGACTCATTTTGCTTCGCTTTCGCTGTTAAAAGTTATAGAGTCAGGAAAAGTATATTAAGTTTCTTCATCACTTACTAGTTAAAACAAGAACTAAAATGATTGACAAAAGCGCTAGCAAAGCAAAAGCAGCACAAACTGACAAACATTTGCATCGAGCTGAACTGATAAATAAGAATAAAGTAACAAATTACTACTCAACAGGATATTTTTAGACAGAAATACCCGTAAAATGGCTTTCGCCCAAACTGTTTGGTTTTTTCTTGTTGAAACGGCACTTCGTTAGGTGATGTCTAGATATAAAGAAAAGTTACGAATGGGGAACTTTATTTAATATATCTAGTTACTTGTTCCGGTGTTTCTACACTCAAGTTTATCTGTGTACTGATCACTGACACTCTCGGTTGGTATTTGCTCATTCTGTCGTGGTTATTGTGTACGTCCACATCATAAGCAGTATGAAATATTAGAATACGGATGACAGAAAAGTTGATGCGAAATCTTTCATCGTTAACTAACCTTTATTCTTATTTTTCATGCGTCAGTTAAATTTAAGGATTCCACAATTCGAAAAGCACATAATACAGAAGAATGTGCAAATATTTAACGAGGCATCGTTTTTAATCGTTTTTTAAATAAGTGCTAATCAAAATGCTGACATTTTATTGTTGATGTCACACAATCACTCACACATTATTCACATCAACAAATGAAATCAACAGTCGTCGCTGGTTTTTCTTTCGAACTTTTTAGCACTGAATTTCATTAATTGTTGCCATGTTAGTTCGCCTAAACACTCTCCTTTTGTTTAACATCCATCGTGCTGTTGGATGTTTTCAGTTGCCAAGTGATCAACTTCGGAAATTAGTAGGAATCAATATCTGTATAACTGTAAAGCGCTATCTTACCACTGTTCATTATTAAAGTATTTTATTCCACTTGACTGTTATATGATTCAAACTGAATTTATTCACTGGATATCATAGGCACAATGTTTATGTTTTGTTTACTCACCTGGATTTTGCCGATGATAATGTTTTATTAAATAAAAAATTGATCGTGAAGCGTAGATCACAAAATACTTTCCATTGTAAAGAGGTTTCATCATTAGGTTAATGCAATCGTTAGCTTGTAGCATGTCAGTTACATTCCATTTACAACCAAAATGTTTGAGGCGAACCCAACCAGTTGTTCGAGGGGTGCTTCGAGTGCTCGGAAATATGCTTTCGATGAGCCGTCGCCGAGGGCTCGAGCCCTCAGGAAATGGCACCTCGGACCCTCAGATAAGCTTTTGAGGGGTATTTCCGAGTCCGAGTCCCACCATCGAGCGAGCGAGGGCTCAGAAGTCTCGAACATCTCTATTCGATGAGGTGAAATTTTTCTCGAAGGCTCGGTACCTATCCGAAATCCGAGGGGTGGAAATCGATACGCCACGAAAGCTTATATCGAGGGTCCGAAGTGCCATTTTCCGAGGGGTTGAGCTCTCGGTGAGGACCTGTTTTCTGGTACCCGCCGCACTCCTCGAACGACGTTTTCATCTGCATGGGTATTTTTAAGTGCCGTATGACAATCCCTTCTCCTCATGCTTCTGCTAGGGGGTTGACCAAGGTCCATGTGAGAGGTATACATCATAAGCCGCATAATTGTGTAATGGTTCATGTACGAGCTGCATATACTGCAAGATTTTTGTTAGCAGATCATAGAGTAGACTCTTGACTAATTATTCGATACTTAACAGCATATTATCAATCAACAGTTTAGAAAGAAGAAGTGAACTTGAAGTGATTCTGGATTGTTTCGACCATTTCAGCAGCGTTTTCGCCCAAACACTCTCCTTTTGTTTAACATCCATTGTGCTGTTGGATTTTTTCAGTTGGCAAGTGATCAACTTGGGTAATTGGCAGGAATCAATATCTGTATAATTGTAAAGCGCTATCTTACAAGCGGGTAAAAGCATCACTTCACCACGTCATTTCACTGCAACCTATGTTTTCAAGATTCAGAAAGTCGAAGATCACAAAATTCAGGGCACTCCTGTCATATGGTAATTGATAGATGAAGATCTATAGGATTTGTAGTCGATAGGCTGGATGTTCTACTCTTTCTATGGGGGTTGGAAACATATTTCTTCATCTTGGCTAGGGAATCTACTCGTTCAAAGAGCGATGTGACACATAACCTGCAGGCAGTGATTTCAACGGGAGCCACAATTACCTCGATGCAGTTAGGTCTTGGCTTTTCAAAAATTAAAATCGCACGTTTTTAGCACGCGTCTGTAGAATGTTATTTAAAAAATATACATGCGCACTGCACAGTGAAATAGATAGTACGAAACATCTGAGATGATTATCTACGAGTGTTTCCAGTCTGATTTTGAATGAGCGATTAATTTCTTCTTTCTAAACTGTTGATTGATGATATGCTGTTAAGTATCGAATAATTAGTCAAGAGTATACTCTATGATCTGCTAATAAAAATCTTGCAGTATATGCAGCACGTACATTAACCATTACACAATAACCTAACATTTATGGAAAGTTTCGTCAGGATCGGATGTACGGTGTCGGAGATAATTTCTGAGGGGGGGAGGGCCTTAATATAAGCTTGACCCGAGAGGGGGCCGATTTTGTCTCTTATCGACCCCCGTCCTGTGCGTTAGCATCTTCAGTATTATTGTTCAGAAAATAATGTTTGTACGTTTAGACAGTGAAATTATTGAAAAACACGGATTTTATTTTTATAAACAAGGCCACTAAACTTGAAGAAATTATAACTAATGAGAAAAGAGAAACGATAATCAGTTATCTCCAGAGGTAGGCAAATATACATAAATTAGCGCTTTGGTGAAAGTCCGTTGAATTTAGTTTGCCGGTGATTCTTTCGCGGTCGTACACTTTTCGGCGGAAGATGCAGATATAGTGATACATACCCAGAATAATGAGATACATGCAAAAAAGTATACGTTCAATCGTAAACAATAAAAACTGTCTAGCACCACTTATATTTTATCTGAAACCCCTCATATTTTCACAATAAGTTTGATCCAGGTGTTTCAAATTGAAGAATAAAAGGTGCAGGAAACCAAATGAAAGCTTGAGGATTTTCCAGAAAACCTCTGACGGCTTTTAGATAAAATCTCACCAGATTTTACTGGAGATCGTCTTTAGTCGCCGGAGATTGCCTTGAGCATTCGAACCATGACAGATGGAGGTCTGCGAGTGTACGGAAAAGAACACGCAGGAACACGCAGGAACACGCGATCAAAGCTTCTGTTTTCATGGCAACGTACGCTTCCTACGTGTTATTTTCCCTATACTCGCAGCTTCGTGTGTGTTTGTGCCACAAATTCGTTAAATGTGTAAAATTTTTCTTAAATTTTGGAATCCTGCAGTTTTCGGAATGACTATGACTGGCTGGGAATATTTCGCTATACGGGTTTTGGAATGGCAAGCTTGGAAGTTTTGCTTCAAACAGTACACCATGGTAGACCTGTCGAATCTGACTCAGATTTACTCTCTGTCCCGGAGTCTCCTTTTAGAATCTAAAAAATCTCAGGTCATTATCCGTATTCGTTTTCGAGTTATTCAAAAACCATCCGGTGCATTATATTTCGAAATGAATAGTGGAGTGAACGCGCTAAAAGTTTTAATTCTACCGACGTCTTTTACTTGATGAAAAAATGAGAAGGCGTTCGAATCCCATGTTTTTTAGCGCATGAAAAGTCTTAGAGTCTCAAAAATGTTTTTAAGACGTTAGACTGCATTAAAAACTATTTTCTCCTTTCTGACGCCTTCGACTACATTAAAAATACGTTTTTCTTTCATAATGTGTTAAAATCTGTTTGATACCCCAAACTTTGCATATGTTTCAGCTCGCACCTTTACCGACAACAAATACATTCACAGCCGTTAAAATACTTTGCTTTCTATTATAATGCATCAACACTTGACAGTATATTTTAACGCATTAGGTGTCTTAAACAGATTCTCAAGTTTGAAATAGGTTAGTGCACCGTTCTAGACGTAGCGGACGACGGGAAGCTCTAAGTCGATCAAAAATAGGGGTTTTATGCTAAACACCCTGGGCTATCTTTTATTTTCCGGGAGGGCAGTCGTACGACTTGTAGTCTCTGAGATAACTGCGCTCATTTGCTTTGATCTATCCAGGAAAAAAAGATACGAGGCTGACTCGTATAAAACTTTGCCTTAAATATAATCTCTATAGAGTAGAGTTTCATAAATTGTAGACACCTTAAAATTTCTTAATCAATAAATTTCCCTGAAACAAATAGTTAAAAGCTGAATCAACAGAGGTGGATAAACTCAAGTCTGCTTGTCAGTTTCTTTCCACGTCAAGACAAGACGCATAAGCCGGCCCAGAAGCAGTTTTTGATGCATAAGTTAACCTATGCGCCACTAAAAAACACCGTTTTCGACAAATGATGGTGCCCTATTCCTGTATGTTCTAGCATCTGGATGTCACCTATGCTTCAGTTCCACATATATGAACAGCTGTAACAACTGTACAATGACCAATAGGGGTTGTTCAATTACATGTTTATGCCAACCGTATAGCGGTGCACTTATAAATACAACAACAACATTGTCTCCGGGACCAGGAAATGGTTGTAACTTGGGAAACAACAATGGGCATTTACAGTGTGATTCTCTCTGCCTCTAATATCCGTAGAACCCAAATGGAAGTGTGTAACTCCCTCAAATATTTTCTCTGCCGTATATACGAAGAAGACTGACCTCTTTTTATGATTTTTTCCTTCAATGTTACTTCTATCTTCAGGATATTCTCTGCATCTTTGGAGTATCGGTGCAGTCGACCGAACAATAACTTTTCTGATGCTTCGACGTGCGCCTGAATGTTGTTCGAGACCATTCTTTTAGTGAGTGATGTAATTCTCTCAGAATCTCAATGTTCTCGAATATACGTTCCGGAGAGCGCTTTACAGAGTCAACTTGGTTTCGTGATAAAAGAGAGTCACAAAAGGCTACTTACTTTCATTCAACATTCTCATGACTGTGTGTACTCTTACCAGGAAAAACAGTGATCATTTTTTCAGGACTATTCAGAACTTTGAAATACACACACACGCACACAAATAATCGAATTCATTCTTCTTCATCTGACATACACGACTATAGCAAGTACCTGAAGTGCGGAGAAGTGGGTGGTACTAATGTAAACACACACGCTCCGTTTCCCAGGTAATAGAAGCTCCAAGGGACGCCCAGGACGATACCGATGATTGTCTGAAGTCGGACTGACGGTATATGCTCTGTCACGTGAGGGAAAGCAGCAGTTCTTCCAAGCTGAACAGAAGTCGATGTAGAAAGAAATCTCTTACGGCCTCAACTTCGCGTTCGAAATAGCCATGATGATGACGCTGCTGAGTAGCGCGAGTGTT